GCATCCAAGAGGAGATAAGCAAGCATTTTAGAAAGTGCACTTCTCTGTGCTGACTATGCAAGATGGGTGTACACAGAGGATAAGCAAAGCATCCAGAGAGTAAAGAAATCAGGAAAGAAGAGATAGGGATGAGAAAGCAACACTGGAAAACACAAAAAGCTTCACAGACCCTTGTTCATATTGGGTAGGGGTCTGTGTACTAGTTAGGGTTACTGTTGCTATGATAAAACATCATGACCAAAGCAAGTTGGGAAAGAAACTTTTTTTTGTCTTACATCATAGTCCATTACTGAAGGAAGTCAGGACAGGAACTCAAACAGGGAAGGACCTGGAGGCAGGAGCTGATACGGAGAACATGGAGGGGTGTTGCTTACTGGCTTGCTCATCATGGCTTGCTCAGCCTGCTTTCTTATAAAACCCAAGACCACATGCCAAGGATGGCACCACACACAATGGGCTGGGCCTTCCCCATCAATCACTAATAAAGAAAACACCTTATAGCCAGATCTTACGGAAGTATTTCTCACCTGAGTTTCCCTTCTTTCAGATAACTCTAGTGTATGTCAGATCAATGTAAAACTAGCCAGCACAATCTGTTACCACATGCTTTCAAGTTCTGTACAGGTTTTCTCAAATGACCCACAAAAGGAAGGCAGCTATTTCAAAGCCCTGGACCAGTGACTTGAAGTTCTCTTTGGCTTCCTTCTCTCCTGCCAAGTGAGATTAGCTGCTCTGCTTGCCATAGCCATTCCTGGAAATGGAGAGAATAAAGGGCCAGCCAGGGACAGGCCTCTGTTTTGTGCTGATCCCCCATGACCAACACGAAAGCATTTGGTTGTGGTGGATAAGATTTCTCTCTTAGGGTCATGAGTGAAAATGCCAATTGTTTCTCATCTCATTGATACAATATAAAACCCAGCTGGGAACAGCAGCAATTAAAAGACCTGTGACAGCTCTCTGCTTTGATCTCTCAAGCAACATATAGGCCTTTAAAAATTCTTAGAATTGTTTATGGTGTGCCGGGCGTTGGTGGCGCATGCCTTTAATCCCAGCACTCGGGAGGCAGAGCCAGGTGGATCTTTGTGATTTCGAGGCCCTCCTGGTCTACAAAACTACACAGAGAAACCCTTCTGGGGGAAAACAAAGGGATGATGGGCATTGAAGAACCTGTGTGTGTGTGTGCGTGTGTGTGTGTGTGTGTGTGTGTGTGTTCATGTATGTAAGTGCAGGCATGCACATGCTACAACACACGTATGTATGCAGGTTAAACCTCAAGTGACTGACTGTCCTTACCTTAAACTCCACTTGTGACTGGCTCACCCATTGTTCACTGAAGCATCTGTCAGTCTAACTGGCCCATGAACTACTGAGAACAGTCCTGCCTTTACTACCATCTTGTGGTAGCAATCCTGGGACACAGACACATGCTACCATATCAGTCTTCATATAGTTTCTAGGGATTCAAACATAGGTCTTCCAAGTCCATGGCAAGCACTGTACTCCTTGAGTCATCTCCTCATCCCCAATGCATGTAGCTTGATGCATGCATATCTTGGTTAATATTTTCTGGCACTAATGTTCACTCTCACAGTTCACACTCATTTGGGTGGCACACATTTTAAAGTCACTAGTAAGAATGAATGATGAATGGCCCACCAGGCTGCTTAAAATCCTCAAGATTTCTACAAAAGGAATTTTTATAAAAAGATATAAAAGAAGAGTTATTAATAAATAAAACTGTGTAATCTAAAAACTAATAAGTAAACATCCAGGTATTACAGCCATTACAGAAGATGAAGCTGGGGGAAAACCAGCAACACCTATTAGGAAAATATTACAGTGTTCCCAAAGGTCTTCTGCATGCAGTGTCTTTCATTTTCTGCCTGTGTTGTACAGTGTTGTGACAGACTTTTCCTGGGGAGATGCACCATACACAGCAGACCCAAGTACAGATACTGCCAAAGTCCAACTTGGTGAACCAGTGACTTCTGTTGGGGTTACTTTTTTTTAAATACATAGTCTTTTTTCTTCCAGATCAGGGATTTTTTGGGTTTAATCATATAGAGATGAAGAATCAAGTTTAGCAACCTAAAAATACTTACTTATTAAAACTATATTAATACTTTAGTAAACTATACCAAAAAGATAAGGAGACAAACATGTACATTTATAGAACTGCATGTCAGTCATGCCAGATCCTGTAGAGGGAATTCCCAACATGACCTCATTCATCTGTGAGGACACAGAACAGTCCTTGTTTAGACATACACCATCTTGTCCTACGTGAGCTACTCTTCACCTCTTGATGGCTTCCTTCTACACATGTGTATGTCTAGTTGTCTGCTTCTTAGAGCAGACAGTTACCTTCCTCATCCACCAGCCATTGGAGGAGGACTGGGGCCTTGAAGATGACTGATTTGACGCATTCTTCGGGGAGGGTTTCCTGGTGGCCCTCTTCCATCATCGTATCTGAAATTAGATGAGCTTACGTAGCCTCTTCTTTTTTTCACATCTTGCTGAAGCAGAGTTTTGAAAAAAAAAAAAACCACAAATTCTGCTATTCCCCAGAAGACAATCTCCATGGGGACTGATTTTGGCTATCCAACACTTGTCCATTAGAGATGTAAACCATCTTTCCTCCAGTTGCCCCCTTCCAAATGACTAGGAAGTACAGCCCTGTCTTTGTTGGGGTTACTTATAGAAATATGAGTAAGGGGTTACTTACAGGAGCAGACATGACTCAAAGACACCAGCACCACCAAAGCCAACACTAGCATGGGTGACAGCTCACAAAAGCAGGAAACTGGGAGCACACTGCACAGCCTGCAGACAGCTAAGAGGGTTGGAGAGCCTCCTTTCCAGACGGCTTCTGTTTCTTTCAGGCTACTGGGCTTGTCTACGTTATTCAGT